TAGTCAAGAAGCGCGGACTCGTTCAACCCCCCACCCCAAGCCCTGGATCTACAAGGCGGTGAAAATGTCCCAAATGGGGATGTGCGGGCTGCTGACTTGTCCTCTTTGAACAAAGACGCTTCCAGAGTAATTGTCAATGCAGCTGCGCCCAAATAAAGTAGATGCGCTATTACGCAGTCGATGGCGAAGTACTCGTGGAGACGGAGGATCGAATCATTCGCGAATCGGTGGGAGAACGAGAACGCAGGACGAGTAAGACTCGGCGGCGGCGATATATGTTCTGGTAAAGTCGATGCGGTCAGTACCTAGGAGCGTATGCGGACCCATTTCCCGCGGGCCTCTCTCAACATAGATCTCAGATACCGCACAAATCGGTGGCAATCAAGAGCCAACGTGATCGCGTTTCGTGAGCGATCAATGTCACTGGATTCAGCGAGGTTCACTACCCCGTCATCGAAACATATTCAGAATCCCGAACCCACCTTTTTGGATGCATCATGCAGAGGAGGTCAGTCGGCGCCTGATAAGCCACTCGATATCGAGCCAAGGATCCTCGGCATCACGAATCCCTAAGAGATGAGAGGTGGATGGTATACCATCTTCGTAGTGCCACTTGAGCCAGTCATCAAACGAGTCGTAGTATATATACACACAGCTCCGACAGAGTAAATGTGCCGTTATTGGCGGGCAGTACATGACCTCATCAAAGATCGAGACCGTTCCAACTTTTGTCGTGCAGGGAAGGAAGAAGTTGTGGGTGAGCGTCTCTGTAAAGTCTCTTTGGTCGAGGTTTCTCGGCCGACGTTGGTGGTTGAATCGCTCTCTGGCGCTTCTCTGGTCGAAATCTGTGTGTGTCGGAAGAACAGCCTCATGGTATTATCTTTGGCCGCCTCAAAATGGGCGCATCCGCACGTCAGCCGGACGAGGGTCACCTACTAGTAAGGCTTTTGTGTCTGCAGAGGTTCATACACGTGTCGACGGCTGCGGTGAATGAAAGAGGGGATGGTAATGGGCGCTGGAGTCACTACAAGCTTGGGATTTCCTCCCCGAAGGGTCTGTTGTGGCGATGGCTGGGTAAGACTTATATGGTGTGTTCTGGCATCTCGGTACTTCTCCTCTCTGATGATGAATGGGGAAAGTCTGGCGACCGTAGATGGCTGGCCGTAGTTTATCCGCGCGTCTTGGCGTGTCTTGGCGGAGCGTTCCAATGCAGCACCCAAACACTCTCGTCACTTCGCTTTATCCTTACTGAACGCCGCCCAATACTGGGCAACACGGGAACAGGAAGCATGCGCTAGTGATGGGTGCTCTTTAAATTTGATCGCAGGACGGTCAATGACTCACACGCTCGATGTCCAGACGGCAGCCCCCTTCGTTCACAGGTCGACGGCGCTTTGTCAAAGTCATCGGCTCGGCGTAGATGACACCCTTCTTCTGCTCCACAAATGACGCACTTCGTTCAGCGTTGTTCAGTATCATGCATACATGGACACAGATCTTCAGCCGGGATGGGTTGGGTATTCCAGTGCGCAATCGTCGAAGTGCCCGGTCAGGGGAAATAGACAGAAATCGACTGTTCGGCATGGCTCGGGCTTGGCGATCCCAAGGGTACCAGCACAGAGATGAACTATCCCGCATGAGGTACTCGGTAAGCAGATAGGCATATTCGGTCTGGCTTCCCGCATCTCGTCCGTGAGGCAATCGTTGTGCTCGCGAGGGACTAGAGTAGGTTCGCCCCCATTCCACGTGGATCCCCAAGGTGTCTTTCACGGAGTCGGTTTCAGCGGGTAATGTTCACAAACTTCCTCCATCTTCAACCTGGGACTCTGGTGGCAAGGTCAAATTGACTCTAGCTCTTTAGAGATACCCACGAAGATCGACGAAGTCTATTCACCAGACTCAAGTTTGTGGCCGCGGTCGAGGATGGATGAGTTTGTGTGAAGATAATCCCGGGGCAGTCGATCGCACGGGCCCGCGGATGGGCAGTAGGTCGCCTGACACAGCGAGAGATAGCAAAGATAAGTCGAACGAGTGATATAGTGACTTTGTCGACCGGGTCGCACGCTGAGCCAGAAAGGGGGTGAGGCTCAAAAGCAAAGAGTCTCCAGAAACCAATTTCGCCGAAGACAGATCAGAAGGCCGGGATTCTGAAGGGGTCCTCTTCGAACTCGAATCCTTTGATTCTCACACGTCACGCCCGGCTTCCTCGTCGCATAATGTTTCGGTGTCCGCTATTCTGTTCCATATCTTCCTCTCCCATCTTGCTCTCCCTTGACTCGAACGCTCTCCGGCCGGTGCCTATATCGCGATCCTCCAGACGCTTGCGAACGAAATTTGGACTTCTTGTTAGGCAAGATTCCAGCTTGACAGCCATTCAGGGTTTATTTTCAGAGTTTCCGCCTGTCTTCGTTCTCTCACTCCGTCTCGGTCGTCTGGGGGCCAATCCCGTGAGGTTTGTGTTGGAGAGTAGCTGACGATCGAGCTGCCCACCCGGTCTCAACGATGCCGTAGTATTCCACATCCAATTGTGTTGGGGAGTGTGACCGAGACGAAGTATAGGAGAGGTGGTAACGTGACTGCCATAGCTCCAGGGATCTGGTGACCGTAGATGAGAGAGACAGGGCCGAGCGTTGGGGATTTTACAACCGTTGTCCGCCGATAGAGAGGTTGCGCCTATTGGGGGCATCAGACGAGGAGCAGCTTGCGCAGATCTGTCATCTGGACCCGCTGGGGCGCTCACCGAGGCAAGCTTTCATTTGGAATGTGGCAGACGTGACTGGTTGTCGTCAAAGACTTCACTCGACAGGATCTCAAAGAACGAGGAAAGCCGTTTCTGAATCCGTCAAGTTATTGAGCTGTTGGGTTGGAAATGAGACAGAACAGGCGTGACTATCAGTGATAATGGGAGTTGGCGAAAGCAACCCAGGGTTTTGTCAATGTATCACGGTCCTCATAGGCAGCGCGGTTCAGGCCGTTGAGGACAAAGGCAGCCTAAGCCCACCAGTCTCAATGTGGAGATTTATCGACGCCGCTTTTGTCTGCGCCAGAAAATGCATGCCATACTCGGTAGATTCCCTTGAAGCAGGTAAGTGCAAAGCGGCGGCAGCTTTGGCCCAATCGGTGATTGGCTACCGTGGCTAAAACGGGGCTTCCGTTCCCCTCGACTACCCACCTTTTGGCCTACAATCCACTGTCGTGTTCACTCTCTCAGTATCTCGTTCCGCCGTAGAAGACTTGAAGAGGGAGAGAAGGGGTAAGTGACGAAAAGGTGATGGTGGTGGCGGTGGAGGCAGTCTTTTTGTCTGGGTCTATGGGATGCAGGAACGCTTCCTACAGCAGCCAATCGGGCGTATTGAAGGTTGTAGTCAATCAGAAGTATAGCGTGGATTAGCTAGCTAGACCTATAGGGGTCACAGCCAATAGGGCGTATGATACAGCGCCACTAGAGGAGTTTAAAAAATGGAGAGATGGGACTTGTGTCCATCCCTCCCCGTCCCTTTCCACCCTATAGCCTCACAGCTTTGCCTTTTCGTCCACCGTTCTCGGCGACACCTACAATCAAAGTTATTCCGTCAACCCCCTTTCTCCCTGTTTCGCTTCCTCGCAGTTGTGGTCACATGACCCACTCGGCGCTACCTTCCCTGTTGGAATGGACTGCCCACCCACTTCCACTGCTCCAAGCGCACCTCTCCCTCCCTCTCTCTTCTTGTTACACAGATACAGCCCATTGTGGGTCCATTTCATTGTTCCATCTTCGCCTTCGCTTCACTCCCAGCACTCAATCTCCCAAAAGACCAAACAGAAACAGATCCATTATTTCCGGAGGGCTTACTATTCCCGCACACGCACTGTCTTTCAGCATCTGTTTGCATTCCCCGACGGTAAGACACGCCCTACCCGTCTCCCACTCCAATTTCACCAAGGGTGAGACGTGTTCGATGGGGGAAACAAAATAAAATAAAGAGTCCAAGACCTGAAAAGGGGTGACTGAGTCAACAAAGACCCATTCGAAGACACAAAGACAATGGATTTGCAGGGGCGAAATAAAAGGCGCAAGACACCATGTGCGTACTGTGAAGGCCCGGGTAGAACAGGAGATCCCCGCACAAAGAGTGAGCTTTTTGTTTTGGTTTTCCATGGTTTCACTGTCTAATCTTTTGTTTCTTTTTGGTTTTGATTCGGGCGCCGCTACCAGGCGATGCACGTGAGACAAATCGAAAGGGGCTTTCTCTGGGGTGTGGTAAGCCCGGACGATAACCTGGCCTATTCCTACTCATTTGGAGACATCAACAAAGAAACAAATAGTTCCAGTTTGTGACTGGACGACCTTTCAGCTGCCTCTCTGAGCCAGGTATGCTAGCAATGGGGCTTGGGCCGTCCGGTCTCCTCCTCAACAGTTGTCTCAACCACCCTATGGGAGCTGAGGACGCACCGCGACTACATGCAAGATGCAAGGTAAGAAAGAGATGTACATTTCCTCCGCCTCCACTGCCCTCGTTCCTTCCAAAGCCAGGCAAAATGAAGTGTTTGACCCGGAGTATGCTCTGCACTCCGCCGCGCATCACGTCCACAGACCAGACCTCCCGGGGCCATTGGGACTCGCCGTTCGCACACGATGAAATACAGACCACGACTGGAACCACAGCACTGCCCCGATTGGGTGTTTCATTGTACGCCTCTCCAGTGTGGGCCAGAAGTGTGTCTTGTGTCAGATTGTCAGAAGGCACTTGTGTGTTTGAGACAGGTCTGATGGCACAAAGAGACAGGCACAAGCAGTGAGAACATTGCTCCGGGCAGCGACGAGGTTTGTATACTGCTGTTGATGAAGACAGCACATATAAGGAACCCAGGCAAGGCCGTATGAAGCATGTCCTTCACAATCATCCTTCCACAATCTCTATTATTGAGCTGGCTCTCTTTCCTTTTGGCAGTGTATCTGTTTGACCTCCCAATCCACGATATTCCATTTGCTACAAAATCGTTGTTTCGAATCGACCTCAATGGCATATACCACTCAGGTATTCAACGTCCACAACCTATGGTGTTTCGAGCATAACAAACCCACCATTCGCCGACGGCGAGGACCGCGTGGTAATCAACAGCCCCCGGCCATTTTCTTCAATGCTATTGATATCATGATCTCCACCATGCTCGCAATTGGCAAAGCGGCCGCCAACTTCAAGCCTCCTTTCAACACCCAATCCGATACATTCAATCACCTCTTGAACCATCTCGGGCTTTTTTATGATGGTATAACCCACTGGACCACCGGGTTCAAAGGTAACAGGACTATTTATAGAGAACACCGGCACGGGCCCCGACTGAGGACCATTGACGCAGCCTTGGAGGAATTGAGGACGACAATCCTCGAGGAACAACCAAATCTGGACCTAGAAAAAAAGGAGTGGAAAATCGCAACCGTCTCGGCCCTATGGCTGCTTCTCGACTTGCGTTACGAGAGCATACAACGACGTCCAACATATCTTGGTGAAGATCGTTTAGATTGGTTCCAAGGACAAGTGCTCGAGCAGCTGGAGCTAAAACTACCCAAAAAACCGACGCCCAATTTCACACTAGGCACAGGCCTTCCTGCCACCATTTTCGTATGCGCTGTCGAGGAAGGAATGGTGTGGGGGGAATGCAAGATGCAATGGTACCCGTTCGATTCTGTCACCAACGAGTTCCGCAAAATGCGTCTTTGCCGTCTTGGAGGGAAAAAGTGCCGCTTGTTCGACCAATCGACTAAACTGAAGGCCATTGAGGAGGCCAGCAGAGGTACCGCCGGGAACCCTGGAGGTCAAACACGCAAGGCCAATGCAGCAAATTTCAAGAGACTTCTCACCGAACGCGGGTGGACACCGTTCGACCATCGACAGGAACCGGGAATAGCATACCGTGTGGGTTATGGAGACGCGGAAAAGAGGTTCAGGCGGCGTGTTCCGTGCCTCAAATGTTCTCACTTATTCAACTGGGGTATCCAGATTAACGGGCCTTCTGACAAGAATTTCTTCGAAATCATGAACTGCGCCGAAGACGACGTCCACATGCAGCTAGAACATCGTCGCCAACAGTCTGGCCAGAAGAGACAAACCACTAACAACACTCCTTCACCCAACAACAAAGAGGGACAAACTAGCTCACCAACAACAGTGACGGACACATGACTGGATCGGATGAACACGGCTTATTGATTCGTGGCTCTGCAGGGCAGAGACGCTAGAGAAGTGCTCGAAGGATGTACCTGGGCGAAAGTGTTGACGTCGATGTTTCACTTGCCTTCACCCAAGCCGCAAATTCACACCAGGATGGAGTGGTTGGGGTTCGGCAACGGCCTGATTATGATCACCGGAAACGTCCGCAACGTCGACGAGGCAGAGGGCTAGCATTGACGAGGTGGAATGTCTATTGTGGGATCGGAAGGAGATGGTGGCTTCCTGGAAAGATATACCAGAGAGATTTTGTTAGATACTGTGACAACATTTAGGGGTGGACATGGTTGCAAGCTTGGAAAAAGCTACCTGGTCACGAGTGCTGGGACTGAGAATACATCAAGATAGAAACTATGCATTTCCTCAGCAGTTACTTTTGCTCAATCTCCCCCGTCACACTCTTTGGCGTTTTATTTGCGTAGTTCGCCCCTTGGGAGCGACAAACAAACATGTTTGCGTCAGGTCCACCTCAAGGCAGAGTATAGGAGGAGAGTGGCAGGATGAGATCACCGGTGGAACGACTGGAGAAGTATGAAATAGAGACAAGAATTGAGCTGGGAGCACCAAAAGCGGATGAGAGTAAGACATCTCAGTACTTCTTCCTCTCAAGACCGCCAATCGCCCTCAATCCCCGCAAAGAGGGACTTCCAGATCGCGCAGCCTGTGAATCAATACGTGCACGTCATTACTTTGCATGGTGCTCTATTTCCGCGGTCATCATGTCGAGCAGCGAGTGCCTTTTACAGTGACTTGCTCATGTTTGCGTTCTCCAGGGAGAGTTTTGCAACTTGATTTCTCGGGGGACAGTAAAATACAATCATGGACTAGATCTGAGATAGCGACAAACATAACCCGGCTTTCAGGCACCACCTTTACCCCATGTTCTCCGCGTCATGGGAAATGTGGGAAGGCAAAAGGAGCAAAACATAAGAGACCCAGGTAATACTTGGACCAATACACTTGACAGACTCTTCGGTCTCCCTCCTCCAACAACAAAAAGAAAAACACCAAAACAGACTTGGGTCACAAAGATATGAACCCCCATCCCCACCCAAGACTGTTGGCTTCCACTGAAGGTTGACCAACCCCATTAGGTGTGGACGAATCTTTCAGATCTAGTCGGCTGACGGATCGTTTGGTCCAGGGTCTTGTTGGAACTCCCCCACATTGCTGGATCCACGACGAGCAGCTAAGGCCGCTGGCTTCAAAATTTCCTCCTTGTACTTCGCCCAGCAATCTTTCCCTGGCGGATATAACAGTGGTCGCGGGACATCAGGGCTGTTCCAGATAGGATCATACCCGTCCACGACCACTTGCGGCACGGGACCATCATTGTCCTGTATGGCCGTGCTAACGAAACCACGAATATATTTGCGCCGCTGTGCGATACGCTGCATGTCAGAAAAGGGTATGCGCCAAGCAACGACAGGAGGTGCAGGTTCGAGCTCGTCCCAAATCTCATGGTCGCATACGCGTATTGTTGGGCCGTCCGAATCATCGCTGTCCCATTCATAGCTGTACGAGGGCGGATCATCCAAAGGTTGCATAGAAGGATGAACATCGAAAACTATCCAAAAACTCTTGTCGACGGGATGGAGGAAGACTTTGAAAGGGGCAGGGTCCAAGTCAAATACATCGTCGATGGTGTATAATTCTGCAGAACTAATCGTGCCAATTACATAGGCGTAATGTAGGGCTGAGCTGTGTTCTGTATCCTCTGAGGTCCGGAGATGTTGAGGGATAATAATTGGGGGTTCAAACTTGCACCAGCCCTCCTCACGCGCGTCGAAGTCCTCCCAAACGTCTCGTTGACCCCATGTCCGGTATTGGCGGCTAGCGGGTTGCGTAGGGTGCAGATCTTGTGGAAAGTGAGAGCATCGGGCCCATTCGAGATAAAGATACTCTCCTCCATGCTTGAAAAGCGGGAATGGGATCACATCTACCGTATCCATCCTGTCCTGGTAGGATTTCAGGTCTAGATGGTCCAAGAGATCAAGGCCGCCGATCACTTCGCAAAATTTGGCCGGGGTCACCATAGAAGCTTGTCTCTGATCCGCCTTCCACTCACTGAGGTTTTGACGGCTGCCTGGTTCGTTCGGGTCCCATTCGAACACGCTGTAGAGGCGGCGTTTTGCTGGCGTCCAACGGTCCCGGGCCTCACTGATTTCGCGGTCTGATGTTGATGTCAGTGAGACTCATTGGGGTTAATGGACTGCGCAGAAATCTCAGAGATCTTACTCGAGTAATCCACACTGTATAATCGAGCGTGTAGCGCAAACTCTTCTCGTAACTCATCTGTCAACTCCAAGACCTCGTTCTCGGTCCGTTCCTCACCCATGATGTTGTGGTCCTCTGGGCCGTCTTCGTCAAGCTTCACGATGTAATCTTGGCGGAACGGAGGTGATGGAGAAGTGGTAGAGCGGAAAAAGAGAAAACAGGTTCGGAATTCTTGACAACATAACCAACTGGCAAGACCATGGCCGCGAACGGACAGACAAGGCAGGATTTCTCACTGCTTTCGTCCAGGAATTGAAATGACGTTGAGCGATGAAGCCAGGTAATCAAGCAAGACGTTCTCCTTTGCTATTGCGCGCTTCCTTTTCCGCTTGCGTGAAGGCGTCGCGATTGTAATAGATGCGGACACTGTCCTAGCGGCCAGACTTTAACGTCTCGGGCTTTGTTCTTCTCCAGTCCTTTTGTGCAACGAGGACGCGTCCGGAACCTCCTTGGGCGTGCTTCTGAGTCACCCACAGGTGTCATTGATTGCGTTCCGATGGCCGTTTCTATCATTGACCTCCGACATTTCTCCCCTGTGGCTTGCCTCGAGACCCCGAGGCATAAAATGAGTGAATATCCCCTCAGGGGAAAACCTCACCAGTGTTGAGAGGCGCTCCGATCCTTCCGTATGCTGGGAGGGGGTAACAAACATCTCTTTGTCCTAGGATGTCCGCAAGCGGATGACGACGAAAACAGAGATACTTTGGGGCTTGCGGTGGTCAAAGGTCTAGGACATGGACATGCACTGCGCCGCCGCATCTCAACAATCGAGCTTGTACACTGAAGCTGGGAGTCTCCAGTTATACCGCTAGTGTTCAGTAGGAGAATAGGGACAGATCAATACCTGATTGGGTGGTCCAAGTGTCTTGGACCACATTCCATCAACAGCGAGTCCTCAGTTGCTGTCGAACAACTGCTGCACCTCGAAGAATGCGGGGAAGCCGTGCGGGGAATTCCCTCGGCATATGCTTATTGCTACGTGACGTCAGGGCCAGTTGCACAAGCCACGGCAATTTTGGAATAACCTACTCGTCTTGTCACTCCCGTCCACCATGTCTGCTGCATTCCACAAACATACCCTGCTCTATTGTCCCTAAAACTTCGTCAGAGCAGGCTTTATGTGTCCACTCTCCTAGCGTACGGCTTGATACCGCACATCCAAACTGCGCAATGCGCAGATCAGCCTCCACCGACGACTCTCATCGACCTAGCTTACGTGACCACGATTGCAAGAATTGCGGCAATGACGACTGCGTAGCCAGTGGCATAGATATACTCAGGAGGGCGATAAGAGCATAGGATCCTATACAGATGCGTTGACAAATTGCTCCTGGAGGACAGGTTGCTGGGTGTTAGGAATGAGGAAGGAGAAGCCTGGCGAGCACGGACCGAATGCTGATTGCTTCTTTTCCCATTTCGAGCTTCCTATTCTTGGAATAGCCAATGCAAAGTTACACGACCCTTCTTGCCATGGACTTCCACACCTAGCTGTGGCAAAATAATGCGTCTTTCGTCGTCTCCTTTGCTCAAACAACGCCGTCGCAACATGTGCGGCTGGCTCCTTTCCCGCTTTGGTTGGATTTTTTGGCCAAGCATCCGCAGCTGTCTGGAACGCCATTATTAATGCATGCTAGTCTTGTGGCGCTCGCTCTTACACGGGGCTTCTCCAACCGTTTGCGTCCGCAATACCTCGAGACCCGCCCATGTTTCTCGGCGGTTGTGCGGGTTATTTCACTGACTCCGCCAATCGCTTCGTTCGAGTGTCGCCTCATGCACTAGTGCCAGCTTGACCTTCATCATTGAGCTGTCAGTCCACCGCATTTCTTTTGGTGTGCGTAACAAGCTTGTGAGTGGGAGAAATATTCGGGACCTGAGAACAACGTACTCATAACCTCCGTCGGTAGATGGGCACAACAGACGGCTCTGCCACTTGCCGGGGCCTCACATGGCTAGAGCAGTTCAATTCCTACACGACATTGGCCAGAGGGTATAGCCATCGGTCGGAGGAGAAAATCAGTCTGCTAATGCACCAACCACGGGAGATTTCGGTAGCCCAAGCGTTGTCGCAATGCAACAGGGCCCAAGCAAACTCGTTAGAAACGCGGTGCATCGGAAGGCGAACATCGTGTGGGAACAAAATGGGGAGAAGTGGCAGTAGACTTGGAAATACATATATTAAAATGCTGGTGTTCACATCACTCGTCGTGTCAGTGAATCAGTACACTGTAGCTACATGGGTAAGAGATGCGTCATTTGCATCTCACGTACACGATCATGCTGGAGCATCTGACGTTGCGCAAATCCAATTTTCAGACCCAAGATTTCCGCTGTCCGCTTCAGCGCAGCTACCACGTTTCCAGTATCAGAGACCAATGTAAAGACACCATGTGTCGTCGGAATGGATCTGAATGTAACCCGGCCCTCCTCTTTCTTCTTTGCGAGTGCTGGGAGAATGATAAGGACTGAGGACGCACCTCGCAGAAAGGAGCGAGAGGGAAGAGATCGTTTGGGTCATTCGGAGCTGACTGGATTGTAGTTTCTTTGAGCAGAAACTGGTCTGAACATGCTGTTTTGGACGAAGGGGCTGGGTTGTGGTCATCAACGCCATCATCTCGCGTTTTAGGTAGTGTGGACCATGGAAGTCGGGTGGCGCGTCGGAACTAAGAGTCCACCGTGAGAACAAGCCATGCGGATGAGCCATCTGTCGAAAAGCCGCTAAAGTGAGCAGCTCATCTTCACACTTGCTGGTTGTAGTCTGGTGGGGAGCGCGGCTTCTGGGGCCGATGGCTGACTTTCAGTTCCGATGATCCGATCCACGGGGACCACTAAAGGAATTCTCGGTTGATAAGCGACAAGCTAAAAATGACGTCTCGTAGATGACTCCGGAGCCAATGCAGTCAGCCTCCTTGCTAAATTCCTGTGTAAGAAGTGCACACATATTCAAGGTGCGCAGACAGCGGCAGGACGTCAGTGCTGCACGTGACATCAACAATTTGCACTGATAGTCCTTCGTGCTCGACCGGAGGCATTTCGTGTATGGCTGTATGATCTGACGTTAACCTTAATTAATCCATTTCCTCTTGTTCACATTGTGACATGTCTTGACGTTGTCTCACATTCTTGAATCGTCTCAAGCAAATGCCGCCGACAAGAAGGATGGATTATCTGCACGACAATAATACCAGGCTTCTGTCGTCGACGCGCCATTACCGGCGTGAACCCTTTGAGATGCGACCTCCTGGGGAACACTTAACAGCACAGAGCACGCCTGTAGACCTAGAGCAGTCGCGCCTCCGCAGTGAAGCCTCTCGGGGCATGACTGCGGCCTCGTCCCCCAGCGATCGCAATCAAGAACTCGAAGCTGCAGTGCGTCGCGTCCAAGGTTCCTTAGCCTCATGTTTTGTCGAACCATACTCCTGGGTGCGATTCAAGCTGACACCTGCTACCTACCGTCAACTCGTGGAATTCTTCTCGGACAACAAGCCTTTTGACACTCTACAGTGAGGTTTCCGGAAGTTTGTCCCTTCAGTGACTTGAAGCTAAACTAGTATTTCAGGAAGTTTTACTCTGTCTTCGAACAAGAGTTTGCGATGGGCCTCGAAACACGTCTCCATGCGGTATTCAGCCAGATGGTCGCAATTGAAATACTTACCCAGCTGCGTGCATCTCAACACCCCTTCATTCATGAGTTTGTCAAGAACATTGAGAGTACCGCTTCCGCCGCAAATACGCTGTCATTCCACGGATACGCCGAGATGGCCACCGAGAAGGATGCAACAGGGGACGCTAAAAAGGAGCTTGAATGCAATAAGGGGCCTGATAGTTCTCTACATCACGAATCCGCCAAATTTCCCGGTATCGTTATCGAGGTCGCGCACTCACAGCGAAAGGAAGATCTTCCCATCCTTGCAGAAGAATATATCGTGGGTAGCAAGGGCAGTATCCGTTGTGTTATTGGCTACAAATTTCCATACCCAAAAGGGAAACAGGCTACAGTATCAGTGTGGCGATCAAAGTTCACTCCCTCAGGAACAGGGAAGGTGAAATTAGCCGTTGAGCAAGTAGTGAAAGAAGAGGTCAGCTGGCAGGGTGTTTCTACGGTTTCAAGCTGACCAAAATTCAGGTTTTTTGCGACAAGAACGGTGTCCCAAATACCGATTTCTCAGGACTCTGCCTCTCCCTCGAGTATCTCGCACCAACTAGGGCGATAGCTGAACAGATCAATGATCTACCTGAGCACCTCACCAAGGTTCAGATCACACCATCACAACTCTGTACATATTTCGAACGGGCTCTGAGGCATCAAAACAGCAGTGAGCAGGGTGTTGATTTTGTCGACGACGAAGTTGAACTGCCACAGCTACAGCATCCTCGATATCCTTCTCCGGAAGAAGTTTCTGGCGCGCGGTTGAGACGATTCGAGGAAGAGGAGAAGAGGGAAGAACTGCGACAGGAACAGGAGGATTCAGAGTACAGGGAGGACTAGTTTCACAATCTCAAGATCTGCACTCGACATCGACAACAGCTTGCTGGAATATTGTGAGGCGGATGGGGAGAAAGAGCAAGAGCTGAAGGCAGAAGCCTGTGCAGCGGATAGGATTCAACTATGCGGGAGACAGTTAGCGTGCGCGTGGCGAGTAGGCGAGGCCAAGGGTAATGTCAGAACCGTGGAGATTCATCAGACATGACGCTGAGAGTGCAAATAACGAAGTATTCTGGTAGACGGCGAGGAGAGGAGGAGGAAGCATCGTCCAAAGGGAAGGATGGTAGTATCAATCTACGCTTCTCTCATATTCGGACAGTACCTTTTTTCGAGACTGATGAGTAAGGCCTGTAAGTCTCGTCCTCCCCGTGGTGTTGGTCGAAAGCATTCCTCGCCGCTTTATACAATAACATAGTATTGGTCAAGAATAACGGTCCGTTGAAGGCTGGAGAACTATTGGTAACGTGAGCACATGGTGTCGTCGATTATACCTTTGGACACACGGGGTTACACCAGGCCATTGACTGACACTAGACCTCAACCGTCAATCTTCCCGTCCTTGTTCTCTCTGTGGACAGAGAGATTTAATTCCAGTGGACTCATTGTGATCTGATCTGACCACCCCTCTACTGGCTTGTGCCGACGTCTGGGTGATGGCGGCTCATGTCAACTATCGTGTCCTATAAGGAGGCCACCAGCAGGAGAGAGGGTTTGAGAGAATCAAGCGGTGGTATGATTAGCTTGCAGGGAGGTACCGCAAATGCAGGCTCTGGAGAGAGGAAACAAGGATATTCTGTGGTTTGCCTCAATGATCGTTCCTAGCGCCGGAGATAGGTTGAAGCACAGTGTCGATAGATGTGTGAGACAGCAGCGAATACCATCGAGAGGCTTCCACAGCTTTGCGTGGTTGAGTCTCGCAAGCACCTACCTTAACGACAACGTGCGAGGGTGATAGAGGTCTGAAGCTATGATTGGGCGGACCTGAGGGGAGCTAGGAGAACCTCCTCAGCCCCGCAAGGCCTAACTAATTAAACAAGCCTGCGCCCCGAACCTTAGCCGGAGTTCTCAGTCCCAGTCTGGAGCTTGTAATTACAAGTTTGTGAGCATCCCAGAACATCCTACAGAAACCCATCAAGCGAGTTCGACCAAGCGGCATATGATCTGTCCCAAGCATAGAAACAGAAAACCGGCCGAGCCGAAGCATCCGCCAGAATCAAGCGGTGGAGGAGGGACTGCAGAAGGATACTCGACGACTGGGACACAGGGTATCCGGGTTGGAACCTAATTGAGCGCAAATTGGTTAAAGGGACACCGAGGCTTCGGGAGTGGGGGCCAGACTGTCACGTGCTGGACTTGGCTTTGTTTCCGTTTGCTTGAGAGCTGCCCGCGCACCTCTTTCAATCTCATTCAATTTTCACTCATATCATTTTCACCCTTACCACCTAGATCCTACTGTTCGCCGTGTTCCTAGAATTATGACCAGTGTAGAAGCGGCTAATTCAACCCTTCATATTATACCTTGCTGCAGGTATCCCTGCACGCCTTGGACGCGTCGAGACTCCTAACCCTGCCGAACTTTTATTCAGCGCTCCCTAAGTTGCTCACACTACTGTCAAGGAACTCCTCCGCCCTGTTGCCCTCGGCTCGTAACGACGGCGATAATCTCCGTCTCGAATAGTGCACAGCCATGGCAGAAACGAAGCCGCCTCTTCCCTCAGCAATACAAGACGCTATGAGGATAGCGGACATGCAGAGACTGGGAGGGGAATATATTGGAGCGGGAGGTACTGGCGCTGTCTTCTTGATCAACGGCGCTGCAGTGAAAGTTGCTTACAATGAAGATTACTGTGTGAAAATCCAACATGAAAAGAATGTCTTCGAGCGTCTCGGCAATTGTGACAGAGTGATTGAGTGCTTCGATCTTCAAGCCCCGGGCATCCGAATGACTTACATGGCAAACGCTGATCTTCGTCAATTCCTCGCGCGAAACCGAACCCTTGACTTCCCACCTCCCACACTACAGCTTTCCTGGTTTTGTCAGATGGCTCGCGCTCTTGCCGCGGTCCACGAGCGCCGCGTCCTTGTCGCTGATATCAGCGCTCGAAACTTCCTTGTTGACAAAGACCTGTCGATCAAATTATCCGACTTTTCGGAGTCATCCATTCTCGATATCGACTGCGACATCCAGACCTGTGACGATAAAGGCTACACTATACATACAGAAATTGGCCAACTAGGTGCTGTCTTCTACGAGGTCATTACAGGAGACAAGTGCAGCTTTGATCTTTATAAACACCAACTTCATGGTGCCTCGATCGCCGAATTCCCACTAAGAGAAGACCTTCCGAGCACCCAGGGGCTCTGGCTAGGACATATTATCGAGAAGTGTTGGAACAAGCAGTACGCGACCTGCCATGAGCTCTCTACCGCACTCGAGTCAGAGGAACTAGTGAGAGAAGAGAAGGACCGGTGGGACAAGGCTCACATCAAAGAGCTGGTGTGGCCGGTACGGACGTGCTCACTATCCGCCAAACTCAGAGCAGCTACTGAAGCGCTGCCACAGAGTCGATTGTTACAGATCCTGCCTGTCACATCTGCCATCGCTCTTGGGTCGTCGGCCGTGCTATCTCTCCTCCTGTTGTCTTTCCTCCGCCGGAAAAGCTGAGACGGTGACAGTAAGGGACGTCCCACCGATGCCGTTTTACTCCGGTGTGATGCTGTGCTTTCCCCCACTCCTCCCAGCTCGCAGATTTTGCTATTCCAAGCCGATGCGCCGGCATTTGGGCATAGTACCATTAGATACCAGCGGCGTATGCTGTCGATCCAATACTACGCCTCGCTGTCCTTTGGTGGCATCATTGTTGATGGCCAGTTTGGGACTGCACCATCTCCACATTGTCAAGCCGCGGTCAGGCTCTTGGGCAGGAGATAATGTGCTTGACACGAAGGGACACTCAATCTGATCAAGGACAAGTCTCTCATGTATGGCGGATTGACGACACACCCCTTTGGGTTTTGCTGGCAGCGATAGCAGAGAGCATGACCTTCACCAGCAGTGGTGTAATATTCGGCCGTCAATCATGGCAGCTAGGGAGGAGACGAATATATTCCACGACAAGACTAGCCTTCCAAGAAATGCAGCAGCAGCCCTGAGCCTTGCACGGAGTATGCATGTGCAGGCGTAGATTGCACGGCACGAGAGAAATGATGCCCAACTCCTCGGGATCGGTTCTACAACACCTATTCCAAAATCCAGTCTACCTTTTGATCAGGAAGCTCAGAACCTCACATTATCGGAACCCTTTCTATTGCTAATTCCGCACTTTTCATTTTGCGGAAGACAGGTACGCTATCAGCGGACAGTGATCCCAAAAAAGTTTGTCGGTGTCTTCCGGGGCGAACCACATGTCTTTTCTGTGGCCTTCCTGAGCTTGCCGGCTATACATGTTAGGCAAACACACCGTCGGGTTCTCTTGCTGATGAGCGCGAAGTCATTGTGCAGGAGACGAGACTTTTCTCATGCTCCGTTCTGCTTTGTTACCCCACAAAATCAAAGGCCTACACTCCTCAACGCTGCTCCAATATGTTTCAGTAATATTGGGAAGGTATGTCTAGGTTTGACGATATTTTACAATCCGCAGTTGCCACCAAGCTACTTCAACAATCAACTGAAACCCTGTCAAATATTATGGACAGAGCTCTTCATAACCAAGCCTATCTGGGGGTGCTCAAATATTTCCTTTCTTTGTCAATGGCTGAAGGTCTCAAGAAACTTGCACCTCAGGTTCTTGATAAAACATGTTATCATCTCGAGCCCTTCCCCAATCTCGTCGCACTCATTCAGTCTACATTGGTTGCTTCGGCATATGGCAAGCGTGGCCATCCTCGTTGGAACAACGGCATTGAGGTCAAGCCAGGCATGGCACTTCTCATGACTTTCAATGATCGGAATGAGCACTCGTGCCCTAACAGCCTCCCCCCCGACCCGCAGAGATATGACATGGAAGAAGAGACCGGGGCTTAAGTCACGGCCTTGTATGCTGTCACCGTGTAGCCCTCGGGTTCCGAAGTGGTCGAGACAGACTTTCAACATGTCCTGAATTTCGTCAGTCACTACTGAGTGTTAATGGGATATTTCTTCGTACGCTGATCGCAGTAGGATCTGCTATCAATATTCTACCGAATGCGGCATACCAACCTTGCGCAGACTGGCGTTAATGTTCTCACCAAACCTCTATTTACCATACTTGGGTACTCTTTCCCGGATCACATGCCAAGGCTTCAAGGATGCTTCAAGCATCTGTGTAGCCTTGTCAAACTGTCAGAATTTGCTTTCATATCAAAGAGAATGAATACTCGAGGCCCGTTCAAACCCTTTATCAGGCAGATACAATCGTCTTCTCCATTTATATGCTCGTGTCTCTGTGTTCTTTTCAACGAGAAAGAGAAACTGCAAACCGGCTGTGTCCGCTGAATCAAGGGCTCTCTATTCCTCCTAAGTGATCCAGTCATTCGGATAAGGTCACACTCTCGGCTGAAGGAATGATAATCTCTACGGTAGGTCGCTACTAATGAGTCCCGAACATATACCTTCGAGCTCCATCCCCGAGATGGACAATCTTTTGGGTTCCAGGCCTTGTGTCCAGTCCGCGGAGGGTCTGTACTTGGCTTATTTTATTGACCTACTGACGAATTTGCGCCTATAATTTCATCTATCAGCATATTCACTTCCACGACCTGCAATCGAAAATGTCCTGCATGTTTCCTCTAATAGGAGCATTTTCGTCCCGCGCCTTGGGAGCCTGGAGCGACCATGGTGTTTCAACAAGGCACGCATCGAGACTGATGCGATTCTCTAGTGGTATGTGGCCAGCGCGACATGCCTGTGCGCCATTCTCATATACCCCGACAACAGCGGGGTGTCCCTGGCGGGATTTCGTTGCGACAAACGTTTCTGACAATATGGGGGCTCAACGGGGCGCTATCTACGACATTGATATTTGATGACAAGCTTTACGTGTTTGTTCGAAACTCGCTCCAAGATCACGAGGTTAAGGACAAAGGCGATTAGAACCGATTTCCCATCACTGGGATGATTGTGTTATGGCGAGGCTCCAACAGCTATTACCTTCAAGTGCTTCGTCATGAGCTACACTATGCAGCGATCGTCACGCATCAACCCCAACTCTCTTCTTTGTGGTATCTATGATACTTCCAGGCTGTCTCCCGACGTCCTGATAGTTTTTCAATGCGTGAATGTCATCCGCGAAGGGTACATGCATGCTGAGATTCATTTCGCGAGTTCCCAATGCCTGATCCTCGCACCTCCTTGATACTACTCGGAGTTCCGTTGTCTACGCCCTCGCGCTAGTACAGGGCGATCTCTTCCATCGCTGCGGATGCGCAGATAATGCCACGACCGGCTCGTTTGCGACTTCCTGGCTGCAGAGGCCTGGATTCGGCATCACGAATCCGATAAGTCGCCTTGGACTCGTTCTTCGTGCTTGGAGAAAAGATGCTGCCAGAATGACAGATAAGCCTATCCTCTGAGCATCACTTTCGTTAGACTTCATGTCACAGGAACGCCAAGTGTCCGCCTCGATGTGGTGGTGGTGGAGTCAAAGAGCAAGAGGCTTGGCGGTGATGGACTGTCGGGTGGGGCGGGATTCTGGACAAGACGAATGTGATTGGCTCCGGTCTGAACGTCTTCACTTAACGTCAACCACAATCTGCCGCGAGCCTCTGCTCCTTCGGTGCAAACGATGCGTTCGTAGTTGATTTCCCGAGCTGAAATGACTCTACGGTTCCAATAGGGAATTTGTGCGGTCGACGTTTTCTCATTGAGAAGGGACAAGTAAACGACATGATTGGCAGCCTTTGAACGCTTTCGATACGCCGCTCGCAGTCAATACCTCGTCAGTTGGACGCGGTCTTGCAATTCCTTCCGCGCAAAACTCTATGGAGACCAGGCAGGTACTTGATTCTTCTGCTATGCACCTTCGAGTGTTCCCATTTATGGTTCCGCCCTGAGGATAACCCGGGCGGTGATCCTGACTCCTGCACGGGTGGCGACAAGCTCGAGCGCGACTTCTTGACACATCACCCTCGACTCGGATGCTCTTCTGCCTCAAAATAGTTGAAACGTATCCCAGTACATGCTCCGTTGTCGATCGAGACAGGGAAGAAGGCGGTTGTTAACAGATTCTCCATGTTGAACTTTTCACCATGGTTAATCTGAAGCGTCTTGTTGCGAGATTGCGATGCAGCACAACAGGGCCGCCGAGTTCGAACACATATTCCAAAGCTGAGCAGCAAATCCACACATGAGGGGCCGGCCCGGAGCGAATCAGCCCGCCCTCTGAGCTATCTACCTGTTTGACCTCCTCTGGCGCCGCCGAGAGCTGCAGTCTCGAATTATTCAGGGTCGTTTCTCGTCCTATATCTTGGCGGCAGATGGCTTCGACCTGCGTTTCCTTTTTCCTGTGGTCGAGGGACCTTTTTCGACCAGATAGGATTGTCCATGACACACGGAATCCTCGGCGGGAAAGACTCTTACACCGATGCACGGTGTTCTGGACTCTGCCTTGTCTCCCTAAATCCTCACCACCAGAAGTTTCCTCGTTCACATTGTCATACCAAGGGTGCTTGCAATCCGTCAAGTTCCGGTTGATATCCTGTTCCCGAAACAAATGGTTTTCCATTTGCTGGCCTCCTGCTCCGTTCAGGGCGTTGAGTGTCATGCTGTTGGTGAAGGAGACTAGCCATGAGGTAACCTAAAGAGCCTAGCAGTTCGAAGTCCGCTTCCGGTGCTTTTCCCTTCCAAGGCCAGTGTGCACTCCCCGCAATAGCAAGACCATTTGGGTATTTTGGAAGAGGTTGGAAACTCGCCGTGTCGGGAAACGAGCTTTCTCTCGTACCCAACGGCCTACAGTTACTAGACTAGCAAGACCAGGAATGGGATAAGGAGGGAGGAGGTCGCCGTGATAGAGAATAAAGGGTTGTTGGCAGGCTAAGGAATAGGCGGACACTTTGCCAGCAAGATTCCGAGAAGTTGAGAGGGCGGGCTCTCTGGCCAATGTCGTTTGCTCTCATGAAGTCAATTGTACATTCCGTCACATGGCTCCGTCTTTGTTGTTGAGGTTGAGATCACAGATCGTGGTCCAGGGACAACGGTACCAGTATCAAAGGCAATGTCCCTCGCCGCCCTATGCTTTGCAAGAAACCCGAGAACTGACTGTCTAAAGCAGCGATCACATAGTCGTGCTTTGTAACTGCGGACTGCTCTTGCTCTGTTTGCTCCTCTCCTCACCACACGCCGACTGATCATGTTCATGATGTGTCCTTCATGCAGGCATTGTGGTTGGTCTTCCTTGTGGCTGTCTTCAGGATGCTCAGTGCCCGCAAAGCCCTTCTCTGACAACGGCTCGTCGCCCATCTCTGCTTGATTGCACGCCGGCCGTCCCTCCGAGCCGATCGATCCCCTTCCCTTTGTAAGAAGAGAGAAAATGGACCAGCCGTTGGGTTGTGCAAGAGCAGACGCAGTGAACAAGAACAAAGTGCGCCGGTACAAGTGTCAGGAACAAGTGCCTGAGGCACTGTATCATCCTCTTTCACGTCGCCACGATCAATCCCCTGAAGCAGCTGCTCACATGGCATCTCCGCGGATCCGCCACGAGCAGACTGACTTTGGTGGAGCGATTGTGATAACGGCCTGGGTAAGGATAGTAGATTGTGCTGTGATGGGCAACAAATCGTTGCACGATACTCACCAGGACCCAGGGGTTTCTGAACGAGACAATCGGTATATTGTCTCGCAGTTGTCAAGAGAAAGGTCTCCTTCATAAGTCCAAATACCTTGGTCCTCAATACAAGCAGACCTTGGCTGGTGAGACGGTGGCCTGTGGAAGTGTCTGTTCCGTGCTGCCAGCCATGTTGACTACAGGTAGTCGACAGCTGCCTAATCAAGGACCCCAAGGACCCCAGGACATTCAGACATGATATCTCTCCGATCTCGATATCCCCAGAGTGATTGGCTCCTAAACTTCTAGCTCTGCGGTCGATTTCTTGTCCATACTCTCTTGCAGTCCACGATTCTTCGCCGATCGTATCAGCCAGCGTCAAAGTTGAGGTCTGGAAATCCCTAGTGCCGCTAACAGATGTGGAAGCAGACTCTGGACATGTATGTAGCTCATCCACTTGTCTGACCTTCTCCCAGTGGCAGAAGCGGCAATTCTCCAGCCTCAAAGCCGTTTGCCTTGGCGAGTACATGAATGAAATCGAGACCGAAGGGGTAAGCTGCCCTCGCTTTTCGTCGTTCGTGTTGACTGACAAGACTTCAGGTATTGATGCCTTAGAACTTCCCCTCATCCGTTGTACCTCACGTTCGTCATGCGTACATCGTCTCAATTTGCTCCTCGGCGTTGCACTGGATTCCTTTTGCTTGAAAAGATCTCGAGCGGACTCGGACGGATCTTCGTTTTACAAACATGCAACTTACATCAGAGAGCCACCTCCGCAGTGGGGAAGGACCCGGTACCATGCCCTGGTCGTTGGCCGGCCGGCATATGCACAAATGAGTCGAAACTGGTTTCGCACTCCATCAATGCTCATGAGGAGGAGCTCTCTGCATCTTGAATACTTCTGTGGCTCGAACGGGATCTATACCCATCGCTCGGAGCGTTCACTCACGTCGATCTGACACTTCGACTGTATGTGCTCTGTTGGGAGATTGCTTCATGCGTTCTTTCCCACTGTTCTGCCTCACAGTGATGTTCTGTATGAGGCCAATGCTCTCAAGCATACGATCCAATGGTCTTACCAGAACCTGCGTCGACTTCGGATCTAGCATTGATCCGACATTGGCCTTTATAGAGACTACTGTCCCTCAAAGGCTCGACGATGCCGAAGCAAGAAGCCCGGCTGAAACTGCCGGCCACCGACATCCGAAGGAAAAGGTGACAGTTGGCGGCTGCATTGGAGAAACTGTCCTGCTCCTCTCGCCCGTTTTGGCTGGTGATGGATGTGTCGAACAGGGTTAGCGGCACCTCGACAGATTCCGTGGCTAGTGAGCAGTTCCGCAGATGGGAATAGAAAGTGTGTGATTTACAAGGCTGGTTCCGAGGCTTGTCCTCCCCGTGACCGTGGACTGTTAATCGTGTCCAGCCAGGTGCGACTTTGCAGATGTATTGCCACTTGACCCAGCTCCCGATGTGGACACGAGCAGACAAAAATTTGCAGGACTGAGAGCAAGTCACTGTGCCGTTACAAGAAACTGGACATGGATTGAAACAAGTGGGGAGCCATTGACGATCCAAGATCCTGCTTAGAGAGACGTTGTCCTCTCCTGTCAGCGACGAACTGTCGAACACTTTGGCATTCTCCGCAGAGAAGCGCTCCGATGTTGCTGCCATATGAGCAGTTGACCGGAATATGCTCTGCACTCAGTACCAATCGGAGCCTCGTCATCGAATTGGAAGGACTCGCAAGAGCTTTTCGTGATAGAACAGTCGGGGAGCTTCACTTCAGTGGCTGCTATGTTAAGAGTACTGGAAGAGAAGTTACAACTTTCCTGCATTATCGGGACTCATCGTCCTCGCGTCATTGACATGTCGCAACATGTCAACTGTGATCAGCCAGGCTGTCTGAGCTATTGATGACATTGGAGCTCGAGGACTTGTGATCGTGATGGCGTCCCGGACGGAACAGGATGGGTGACAAGATGGACACATACAGGTGGCTACATCTCCAGCCAACCCAGAGTCTGTCCCTAGCACGAAGTGCTGCACAGGTCCTTGTGATTGGCACACGGGAGAAACCTGACATTTCCATCGGCACGCGAGCGGTGCGCGCAAGGCCTGTTTCATCAAAGCGTGGATTCTGCCTCCGGGTTTGGCAGGGGTGAGTTTGTGGTACAGTTTGTCAAATGCTGAATCCCTCTGCGTGGATCAGTGAGGACTGGGATGGATGAAGCAGCTATGATTGTCGACATTCTCATATCGGACGCATGGAAATCGGTGAGAGACAGGTATGAACCTCCAGTTGGCCCTGGAACCTCTGGTCTGTGTGTATATCCCAGGAACGCGCACCACCTTCACATCGGACGCTCACGATTGCCGGTCTCAGGAGTGATACTCACGGTCAAAGAAAACGTCATGTACGGAGTGCTCCAAAGTTACACGTTCTGGCGACCCACAAGATGGACTCGGTACCGATCTCGACTCTCCTGCTCTTGCAAGAACGTATTGGAGCCGCTCTTATCACTCAAACAACATACCTCTTCCCGGCCAAAAACAACGCCCGGAACTCGAATTTTTGGACAGATTCGTTACCTTGGCTGAGGGAATACGACTCGTCCGGCCCTTGTGCTGGTATCTGCCAAATGCATCGCTCGAGGACTTATTTGAGGGTCTATCATGGTGCCTAGCTTCACAAGAAGAAAGGAGGACCTCCCTAGAGCAAGATGACTCCAGCACATCCCAGGTTACCGCAGCGCCAGAGCAGCCAGCAACCAGCTTGACACCTAGTCCGGTCGAAGCGGCTAGTGTTCTGTGCCATATGGTCCCCGGCGGAATAGTCCTTGTTAACAGTATGGTTTTTCTGATATCGCATTGAGTCTCTCGTGACGCTCACTAAAGATGCTATGTGATAGGGCTCACCTGTGTGCACTTCCTGGTGGTCTATGCGGGGCGTACCCCGTCAACAGGCTTTTGCGGACAAGAACCCTACATGCTGACTCCGGACAAAGCGGACAAACTCGAATCTGCTCGTGTGTGTTCGAGGAGTGAGATGAAGAGCTTGCACGGTCCAACTTGGGGGCTGACAGTCCAGCACCCCCGAAGACCCACCTACTTCCACTATGCGGCGCGACGAGCATGGCTGAAACACCGCTGACAGAAGAGCTCACCGTGATCTGTGCATCTGCGACTGACTAGGTTCCGAAGAAAGGCAACAAAATGTTGACACCATTGCGGTCGAGGCGCGATCAAGTCAATGGCAACGGGAGGTCTTCAGCGATTGTTCCAAAGAGATGTGCAAATCCTTAATCGTACAATGCCATTACACCTGCACTACACGTCTCATTACACGCAAAGTCGGCATCACGAGGCTGATGACCTGAGCCATCGAGACTTCGCAGCCCCCTGGCTCTATTCTCCGTCCATTTCCCTCAAACGACGATGCGAAGTACATTCGAGAGGGATACCGGTGTTCCCACGATCATTTCCAGCCTCTGCAACCCTGTTTCTCCCCTTTCGCTGAATAGCGTGCGGCTCAAACAAGATCTCTGACCGAGAGTCTTCGGAAGAGGTGTACATGCTGCATGGTGCCTTACAGCACGCGCGAAAACTGATCCGATTGTTTCAAGATCAGAGTGGTATGGGAATGGAGACAATCGGATTTCGAGAGCATATGAAGAACGACAGGTAGACAGAGCTTGCGTGGAGGAAACCCCGATGATGTCTCAACAGCAGTATCGACTTTAGTTGTCTGGTACTGTCATCTAAAGATCAAGTCGCGATCGAGACGCTCGATGTCGTCGTGGCTGACGCCATGGCTGCATCACTCGTTTCCCAGGAGGTCAAGCACCAGAGCAGCGACGAGGACCTGGAGAATTTAACCAACGAACAAGAAAACCTTGTAATTCCAGGCCAGATCACAAACATTTGGCCAACCAGACAGACGCTCACATTTTACTCCATCTCCGGACATCCACCGAGAGCAGTTGATCTACTCGGTTCACATTCGGCTGGACTTCCCTCGGGGAAACTCCATCAATAAACTCCAACTTGACATGGACAAGGCGGGGTAATTCAACTACGGCCCATCTGTATCTCTCTCTGCCTCCCTCTCTCTCTCTCTATCAACATTAAAAATGGATGCGAGATTGATCCCCATAGTGGTAGGTGTCGGCGATGCCTTGAATCGATCCAGAAAGCCGGAAGAAGCGGTGGAGCCCCTGCAATTGATGGTTCAGGCCATTGAGACGGCATTTCAAGATACAAACCTCTCACCCTCTGCAGCAGCACAGCTCCGAGAGAGTGTCGAGAGTATCGATGTCGTCCGCAGCTGGACGTGGCCCTATCCCGACCTCCCGGACCTTCTCTGTCATCATCTGGGCATCACGCCAAAGCATAAGCACTACCACCCTTTCAACTCAGGCAGTACACCAGGCCTGTTCTTCGATGAGGCATCTCGCAGGATATCTCTCGGAGATGCAAAAGTCGCCATACTGACGGGCGGTGAAGCTCTCGCGTCTCGTGAGTAAGCCATGCCCGATGTCTCAGCGCTCATTCAGGGTGACTGTGAGCAGTGAGGGCGTGTTTAACCGCCAAAATCATGCCACCCCCGGGCTGGACCACCATTGAGAAGACCGTTCGTGCTGTCGAAGACCCGACCACACGAGAGCTGCAGAAAAGTTGGTTCACAGCCGGCTTGCATTCGGACATGGTATTAACAATGCCCCAGACGTTGCCGGGCGCCATCAAATTGGAGCGCCCATCCAAGGGTATCCGCTCTTCGAGAACGGGTTCAGAGCGCATCGCGGCCAGACCATCTTGGACAACATCCGAGAGTCAGCCAATCTATACGGAGAATTTGCCACCGTGGCACGAAAGAATCCAAATGCTTGGTTTTACGGAAACTCCGAAACCGCCGAGTCGATCAAAACAGTGACCAGCAAGAATCGGATGATATGTTTTCCTTGTACGATGGAACCCTTTGTCCACCAAGATCCTACACAAATCCAAGGTCCGAATGCTGACTGGTGCAGACCCTCTGTTGATGAACGCGATGAACGCAGTTAACATCGGAGCCGCCATTCTGTTGACTTCGACCGATTACGCAAGAGAACTAGGAATTCCTGAGGAGAAATGGATCTATGCTTTGGGTGGCGCTGGCACTAGGGACAGCTTGAACTGTAGGTTCCCAAGACCGTGATGGTTTTGTTGGTTCCGGCATTGAATAACATTGCCATGGTAGTCTGGGAACGCCCCAACTTCTACTCAAGCCCCTCGATCTCCGTGTCGTTAGACGCCGCCATTACCGCCTCCGCCGTGAATAAGGAAGATATCGATCTTTACGACTTCTACTCGTCTGTGAACTGCACGGCACCAAGGCGTGGGGAAGAATCCACTAACACAAACTTCAGATGTTTTCCTATCGTCCCGAAGATCGCCTCCAGTCACCTAGACATTCCCATTCCTGACCCGAAGCATCCGGTCACGCTCCTTGGAGGCCTGACGTTTTTCGGCGGCGCGGGTAACAACTATTCAATGCATGTAAGCCTCTCCCGGGACCACTGGATCGAACTCGCTTTTGCAGCAGCTGTAACTCAACTCCTCTTCCGATAGGCCCTAACGGAAATGGTGCGCGCACTCCGCGCCGGCAGAGGCAAAGTCGGGCTCGTCCTCGCCAATGGCGGGATCATGACTTACCAGCATGTCGTTCTTTTGTCGACCCAGCCACGTCGAGACGGATCACCGTATCCTAAAAGTCCACCACTTGCCGAAGTCGTTGTTGATGCGCAGCCTCCAACTGTTGAAGAACTAGCAAATGGCGCTGCGGTTGTGGAGGTATGGTCCCCTCTTATCAGGATCTGTCCACCGTGGAGCTGATATTCCCTGCAGACCTACACGGTTGACTTTGGCCGCGATTCTCTTCCCCTCCGAGGACATATAATCGGTCGATTGACGATCAACAACCGCCGGTTCATCGCCAATCATGCCGACGAGTCGACCTTGAAACAGCTGTGCAGCATGACAACGGAACCGATTGGCAGGAAGGGCTGGGTGAGGAACGATCCTGCCAGCGGGAGAAACCTGTTCAGTTTTGAGAACAGCTCGAGGCTGTAGTTGCGGCTAGAGCGGGCTGTTTCCAAAGTTCTTGTGGGTGTTCAAACGCCGCTTCAACTTGGAAGACAAAGAAATTGATGGACATTGTGCGAACTTTCCATATTGAGCACGATCAATGCCTTTTACGACCCCTCACTCTGTTCCCACCAGGGGTCCTTGAGGACTGTCCATGATGGCCCTTTTCCAGGGATTGAGGCATGTCATCCTCAGTATCAGTCTCTTTGCCTCGGAGTCGAGATTCGGAAAAACGCTCTCGTCCCACTTCTCAAAGCGTACTCCAGGATCGTCCTCCTCCACCACCTCGGACAAGGTTGTCAAAAACTCGCCTCTATACTGGTTATCGACATGGGCGATCAGCTCAGGCGGAGCTGGCCCGAACATTGAGAGCTACTTGTACAGGATCACTTGCGCTGGCTCCACCCAAGGAGCAGACGAGTCTGATGTCACGAATGCCAACCAATCGCCTAATCACTCCATACACCGTTGGCACAGGCAGCACATTCTCCCTTCCTCCCATCTCGCACCTTCAACTACAATCGGTCCTACAGTGCGGCATCAATCTACAGTACATGGGTACATGGTTCTCAACACAGTCCCCCGTACTTCAGACACTGTGCTCCTACTTCGAGCCTCCGTGGGCCGCCGCTAAGATATCCAAACGACCCCCAAAGCGATCCGCAGCAGCACATTCTCCTGTTGGTAAAGACCCGTGAACATCCTGCACTGTTAACTTACTGCACCGGCCTGCACCAAAGTATGGGGTAAGCGCCGTGCACAGTACCCCTAGCAGTGCCACTGAGGAGTTTCTTCTATGATCTGACCAAATGCTTCTACACCGCAACAAAATCACCCTTGATCAGGGAGCTATCGAACCGATACGCGCATCTCGAATTGACCTGCCTTGTCCTAGGCGTGCCGTTTCACCCTTGGCGGTCATGTGTCTTTGTCGAAAACAATGATGATCTCATGAGACACTTGGCGTTCCAAAGGGGCATTGCACCTGAGCAAGCGATTTGCCTAGCAAGAAGTGCTGAGGGTGGTATTCCGTTTCCTGCTGGAACCGCCAATACGATCGGCTGCTTCTGGCAGTCTTGGGGTGTCAAAGTCACGCGCGGGAATCGGCGAGCTAATCAGATTGCGGTTTAAGATGACTTCGACGCGCTTGGTTCCTGCGGACAGGGACTACACAGATGCAACACAACTTCTGTTCAGATGAGTGGTGGAACGCGATGCTGTCAACATGCCTGCACTTGCATACACCTCAGTCACGCAGCAGAGGCATGCTGGGACACTTCGACTCTGTTCCTGTGTAGAAGCAAGACAATTAAACTATGCCTTCCTACCAGCCTTGCTTCGAAATGTTCACCCGTCCTTTCTCCCCATTTATGCTTTACTTAATGGCTAACATAGTCACCATGTTCGATCCTTTCTTGTTTTGCAGCTCTCTCAATCTTGTCTTCGCGATCCCATATCTCCTGGTGTCCCTTGGCTCTTTGCGACATGGCCTCGGAGACAAGAATAGAGTCTACCTGCTCAGCAGCCTCGCCAACTCCACCACCCAGGTACTCTTTGCCATGGGCTTGACTATTGCGGACGCTCTACATTGGAGTTCAGTGGAACTGCATGGCCCTTGCTCGGGCAACGCTGTTCTGTGAGGCGACGTTCGAGGTACCTTCCTGCCTTCCAGGCTCCCAGCAGCCTTCTAATCTGAGGTCTGAGCCAGGTTATCGAGATATACCGTCTCATCGAAGTTGTGTATCTCGCAACCTTGGGTCTCTGGCACAAACTGTTACTGGGAGCAGTCTGGGCTGCTGTTACCGTCGATTTGATGGCGACGCCTTTTTTTTTTCTTGTTGGTCGTCCTATCTCGCCGCATGCAACCCGGGAAACTAACGAGGACAGTGACGACGATGGTGCTACTGGATCGAGGCTATTTGCCTTCTCGCTCGTGGTCAACTACAAGATCAAAATCCACCGGGTGTACATGTCGATTCCGAAGCTGGAAGCGGGTCAACGGAAGCCTCGACGGTGGAACATGCTTTCACAAGCAGATGCCCGCCTCGGACCGTCTTGTCTTTTGAGGCTTGCCGGGCATTTCTCTACGCGATCGCCGCCTTTGTCAATATAGTGCCATTGCTGATCCTTCGAGACAAGCGGCCGTTTTTTTTTACACGGTGAGCCTTTCGTCTCCCGGGAGGGCCGAGCTATCACTGGACGAAAGCGGAGCTGCAGGTCCTGATTGTCAACATGTTGCTGGCCGCCCGGTAATTTCCGCCGCATCCTGTTGTACTGGTGGCCTCGCGGGCGCAGCCGGTCCTTGGCTCTCCGCAGCAACGCTTCGGGCGAAAGGGTTTGATACCTCACCCCGGCCGGGCTCTCGGTGTAACGGCGCGCTGTGTTGATTCTGCGAGTGAGGTCTCCAAGCAGGAATTTGACGGCGGCGGCGGAGGAGGAGGAGGAGGAGGAGGAGGGAAAAAAGGAGGATAGCCACACATCTCCACAAGTCCCTTGATGTCGAAGTATATTATGGCACGTCGAACATTTCGGGAGGGGATTTGGAGGCCTATTTCGGTTTTTACCGGCGGTTGTCCTGGACACTTTGCTGGCTCTGGGGGGAAAGAAACGTCATCTACTTGGAAAGGCTGGTGAGAGTTGAGGGTTCTGGATGGTCAGTGCCAATTCAACAAGGGCATGTCAATGCAACCCAACGCAAGGCAGGGCATGCCGCCCTACGAGGTATCGGCACGGGCACCGTAGGCTCTGGGACATGTACGAGACCCACGAGTGAATCTGACTTGACCACCCCGGGACCCTAGCCGCCCAGACTGCCAACCTGACACTTTCCTCTCTCCCACGCAACGTAAGGAAATGCAACGGAGTAGGACACCCGTGAGTTCCAGTCCAGAGGGCCAGGAGGGCAGATTTCCACGAGCTCACAGGAAGATGAGTCCGAGTCCAGATCCAGATCCAGATCCAGATCCAGATCCAGCTCCACCTATCTAGTGAATCTACGTACAAGGTCGGAGGACAGGCGAGGAGAGACAATGGTGAAGGTGGCCCGTCAACGCTTAGTGCTGGGCAGATAGATCCACAGGCATCGTGTCGCGCACCTCGTTGGACAATGTTGCAGACCATGAAGGCGGCGTCGTAAACTCAGAAAGACTCCATTGTTTGTCATCTCTGTCTTTGCCGCTGCCGTGCCGTCGTGCCGTCGTGTCCAAACGCCCATGACACGGATGCCAAGACCATGTCTGACAGTCAGTACTTTTGTCGTCTTTTCAATGATGGTCGCAGGGACTGCGCAACCCTGGGGCTGCTGGTGTGGCGGTCATTACATGCCTTGGCAAGTTTGCAAGGCTACGTCAGGCTGCGAAGTTGCCTACTTACCCGCCTGCCCGCCTAGTACTTAATAACCACATCATTATCACTCTACCGCTACCGCAGACCGCATTGTCAAGGTAATGTAACGACGGCCACACTAGACTCTCGATATCTGCAAGGTCTGAAAGACACGAGTACTGATTTTCATCAGTGGATATGAGCTTCAAGAAACAAGGGGATTAGACGAAGAGATGAAACAGGCCCTAGCGTACACTCAGCGTGGTCAAGGCCGTTGGATGGCTTCAGAGACACCCTGCCGGCATATTGCCCTCACTTGTTATCAATCCGTGAAGAACCACGACCTTTAATCGCCTGTCATCTTTAACAAGGACACGCTCCACGCAGCATTCCTGCTTCCTTTCTCCGAAGACTCTGAAGTTTATATTGATGGTGTCCACTCGGGAGACGGATGAACCAGACACATCGGCGTATGGACTTCTGGATTAGCTGGAATCAGCAACTTCGTCCCAAGGCGATTCATTCCCGCCTCGAAGACCGGAATCGGGTAAGCAGCTCCTTGTCCCAATCAATACCAGCAGCAAAACTCACGCCATTTCTGAACTTGAACTTGACGCCGACAGCGACTCTGGGTTTTCAACTCGAAACAACATCTCGGGAACTAGCGGTCAACCGCATTGTAAAGTCCTTGAGTATTGGAAGAACCGGTGGTTGACGAATGCACGATCATAGCCTTTGCCAGTGCTGGGTGAGACAACAGAGGGATTCGTCGCCGCCTCTGACTCCTGGGGTGACGTGTGAGGATGTCGGAGCGGCGGAAGATCATTGGGAGTCGATATCGTCTCTGCCGTTTCCCTCTATAGACGCGTGTATGACTTCCAGCAAAATGGCGTTACGGGAGTATTCCAACGACGGGTCTTACCTCTCTTCCACCACACGAGATGCATACCGCATGGCACTAGTCGTGTCGATACCTCTATAACGTGAGTGCCATCCCCCAAGTCGGGAACCAAGAGAGGAGGTTGAGCAGGCCATGACATAACGCTTAGCAAGCAGAGCGGAGGAAGTGTCCAAGTGCCACACCATGTGCCCGGCATTGAGCCGGATTCGGGCACTTTGGCCGCATCCCCTTTAAACTAGTCAGTCGGGCGTGTGCATCCAACCGGAGTCGTCGACAAGAGCTCCGGTGGCCGAGTCATGATTTTGCAGGCATACGCTGTGGCTACCCAATAAGCGCTCGCTGTGTCACGAAAAATCCAACAAGGCAGGTAACTTTCCGGGAAGGGGAGCCGGTGTCCGGAACAGTACAAGCTCGAGCGAGTCATGCTCGTATTCGTCGCGGCAAGATCAGTCGTCGGGGCTAGAACGGGCCGAGGGCACGGATAGATTCGAGCGACGTATACATGCTAATGCTGCCCTTCCCTCAGACCACAGCTACTGTAGGGTCATGACTGGATGAGGCAGGGGGATAGATAGTTGGGGACAAATCCTTTCCCCTCAACTCTGTTTTCTGGCACCGGTGAGTGAAACCCCAAGCCCTCTTCTGCTTAGCTCGAAGTTTGCATCCCGCATTTAATCTCCATGCCCATTCCGTCGGACAGGGCGAGCGATTAGCCTTTGAGCCGTTGAGGTCATCTGTCCTTCCCACCGCCCCCAGCTCCTCCAGAAATACCCCATGCGAATAAGTGCGGTGGTGTTTGGCCAGATACCCACCCTGTCGCGACAAACATACTTCTGAGCCATGCCCTCGCCGAAATTCAAAATCGCTTTGCTGTGTCACAAACGTGCTGACTCGGGCAGGAGCATTGCCTGAAGGAGGACCTGAAAAGCATATTTTCCCACATGTAACTCTTCCACTCCCTAGCATGCTTCGTCGCTGACTCGCTGACTCGCTGACTCGCTGACTCGCCGACGTGACTGGGCATTTCACCTGTTGACAGCTGCACCGTGGAACCAAGTGGGAAATTGGCGTCTCCTATGACAGGACCAAGCATGAGCGCTTCCTTCGTGATTGGAGGATGTCGTGATGGCCAACAAAAGAAATGAGCACGTATTGGAACACACCGCCAGCACGTGATTTGATGATCACGTGAAACTCTTCCTCAACGCTTTGTGCTCAATATTCTCGCAGAGCGCGTGGCACAAGGTATGTATCCCCATGCTTGGCGATGGCATTACATTTGTCCTTGAGAGACGTGGGCGAGGGCCAGCAGCCGGACGACTCTACGTAGCTGCCAGTGATGATGTTTACCATGAGGGTAGGGAAAAAGGCGAAACGGTGATCTGAACTACGCTAGACCCGATATATGCACAGGAGTCCCTCGCGTTCCTAACATCGGACCCGTTGGCGCGAATGCAGACGGGGAAAAACAGCCCAGAGACTTGACCTCCGGGGAAGGGGGTGACGGTCAGGCTTCGGGGTTTGCCTTCAGCTGTCGATTTCTCCCAGAGAATCGCGGTAGTCAGTATCGCTTGTGTTTTTCCCTGCATTGACGCATTGAGGGAGTGAAGGGTGAGTGTCTTCGCGCCGAACAGCCTGTTCCACAACGGCTGGGACATAAATTGTGCCTCGTCCCGGACTTCCGGAGTGGAGTATTGCTGGAGGGGAGGCTGATGCGTCTGCTTCGGTTACAAGATGGCAGTACACATTCGTACACCATCGTCGATTAAACTGGGTTAGTGCGATTGAGGGGAGAGCCAGATCGAGGCTTGATCGCTCGGCAGCGTCGTTTCCTCAACACATTGTAGAATCGGTGCCTCAGCCTCGTTGGCTGCCAGCCTCGTAACCTCGGCAGCACCAAGTCCTT